AACTATAAATGTACAGAAAAGCAAGTTTTGTATTCGGGAAGTTAGATACCTTGGGTATATTGTAGGAAATGGGACTTTACGCACTGATCCAGACAAAATATCATTAGTGGTAAATTACCCGAGGCCTACAAACGTTAAACAATTAAGGCGTTTTCTCGGTATGTCTGGGTGGTATCGCAGATTTGTTGATAATTTTGCTACGGTAACAACTCCTCTTACCAACTTTGCTTAAAAACGGTAGCAAATTCGAGTGGGGTGAGGATGCCCAAGAAGCATTTAGCATTCTTAAGGAAAAGTTGTGTTCAGCTCCAGTCCTGGCTAACCCAAACTACCAAAAACCATTTATCATCCAGTGTGATGCAAGTAAACTTGGTGTTGGTGCAGTCCTAGCGCAGAAGAACGATGATGGCATAGAGATTGCTATCGCGTATTTTTCGCAGAAGTTAAGCAAAGCCCAAAGCAATTACAGTGTAACTGAGCTAGAATGCTTGGTTGCGATTCTGAGCCTCAAGAAATTCAGAGCCTACGTTGAGGGACAGGATTTCGCCATCGTAACGGACCACGCAAGCTTGCAGTGGTTAATGCGACAAACAGACTTGTCAGGTCGTTTAGCTCGTTGGTCGCTTAAGCTCCAGGGTTTCAGATTTAAGATCGAACATAGAAGAGGATCTCAAAACGTTGTACCCGATTGTTTCACGGCAAAACTTCGAAGAATTGGTGGTAGCACATAAGCTAGAGGAATTGGAAGTAGATCCACTTATTGATCTAGAGTCAGCTGAGTTTGAGTCAGAAGAATATTCGAAGTTGAGAAAATATGTACGCGATAACGAGTCCCGGTTGCCTGATATCCGGCTTGTTGATAAGCATGTTTATAAACGCACGGAATTCCCAAATGGTGATCATGAGCGGGAAACATTCAATTGGAAGTTGCTAGTTTGTTTGGTCCATTCAGTGTGCAATTTCCTTTGTTTCGTTGTGCCTCCCATCCCTTTCTAGTCTCTAACGCTACGTTTATGAACCCACGCAACTGAAGCAGCGGGCCGTTGCCAGTGCACACGCCGTAGCGAATGAGACACTACTACTACTATTATAAAGGGAAGTTCATAACAGAAATAAAATGGCGCCCAACGTGAGGCTCAAAGGTTGAACGTTAAGTGTTTATGAATGCTTTCGAAAGAGGAAACTTTTGGGTCT